CAGGCCGCAGGTTGCTGACCCCTACCCTAAATTGACCTGTTGCTCCCCTCAGCAGCCAAAGCTTTCAGGAAATAAACCCATCCCTCTGAGCACTTGCACAACCAATACTACAGCCATCCCTCTAGCCCAGGGACCGGCAACCTACAGCCCAGGGGCCGGTTAAGGCCCAGGTCCCTGAACTTACTGGCCCAGGCCGAAGGTTTCCGCTGCCGCCACCTCTGCGCACCGCCGCCGCGCGTTTTTGCCGCTGTGTGGCCGCACGCGGCGCAGCGCGACCGCTATTTTGGAAATCAAAATGGTGGTCACAACGCGTTTGTGCATATGCAGTACTCCTGCGCATGCGCAAACGCATCGCAGCCGCCATTTTGATTTTCAAAATAGCAGCCGCAACATGCGCCGTGGCGGCTGTGGCTGTATGCGATGCAGCAGCAACGTGCACGAGGGGGGCTGCCATTCCCCCCCCCCTCGGCCCAGCCGAGACCTGGGCTACGGAAGACCAGCCCAGATCTCAAAAAGGTTGTCTACCCCTGCTCTAGCCCATCTGCCATAACCATGGCCCCAGAGAGAGAAAAGAACCAATGAACTTGATCCCTTCCCCACTACCATTCCCTTCTCCTTTTGTGTCATGTCTTTTTAGATTGTCAGCCTGAGGGCAGGAAACTGTCTAATTAAAAAAAATTGTAAGCTGCTCTGAGAGGCTTTGTGGCTGAAGAGCAGGCTATAAATACTACAAATAAATAAATAAATAAATAAGCCCATCCTATACAGTACAATATAATATTAATCTATTCTTTTAACCATTTAAAATTATAACCAGAACCCATTACAGCTGGCTTTTCCTATCCACGGACTTGGCATCTGTGGACTACAACATCCATGGATGGCCTTGCCCTGTTCTTGAAGTATCTTGCAAGGACTTGGGATGTGACTTAAGACTTGAATATAGAGTCTTAAAACTTGGCATGAAACATGAATAAAAGACTTGAATACATCACTGAAAGTTTTAGACTAACGTATCTCCAGGAAATCAATCACCTTATATACGAGGAGGGCAATGTTCTGAAAAGGAGAGCTTCTTCTGTCTGCAGTCTCTCAATGCCATTTGGAATCGTAGGGCTTCAAATCAGGTAGATAACCTCCACAGATAATTCTTACTCAATACGAGAACAGAATGCATGAATAAGGATTTTATGTCAGCATGAAGCTCTTATATAAAGTAAGTACATCTCCAAAAACCAGCAGGGATTTCAGACCAAAAATGGGGCATTTCCTGTGCAAAAGAGCATGCACCAAGGAAGCTGTTACTTGAGACCACACTTGCTTGTTCAGTGGCCAAATTTTGTTTTACTGAGCAGGAAGGAAGTCAATTAACTTGCAAGTATCTTGGATTTCAGCCAACAACTGCTCTAAAACATCACTCCATTCCATGATTAAAGTTCCAGTGAGGTTAAGATCCTATCCAGATCTTATTCCTAATTAATCTTAATAGAAAATATTAGGGATTGAACTGGAGACCATCAGAATGCAAGGCATGTGCTCTTCCACAGGGTTATGGCTCTTTTACATGCTGAGTATCATACTTTAATAGATGAGTGTTAGATTGAAGAGTAAAGTGGATTGGAAAAAAACCCTGATAAAATCAAAGGGTGTTGTCTAATTGTCTAAGTCACGAGTGATTAATTTAATCACAGAGCCTGGAAAAGTTACTTTTGGGCTGCAACTCTCAGCAAACTGAGCGCCCATTTGTCTTGAGCCATACTGGCTAGAGGATTCTTGGAGTTAAGAGTCCAAAAAGTAGTTTTTCTCAGCTTTAAGGAGCTAGAAGAAGTGTGATGTATAATACTTTCCTTTCCAGAAAATGTGAAATCATTTTTTTACTTAATGTAGAATTCCTCATGGTTCCAAATTTCATGGAAAGTCTCCATAGATAGTAGTGGGTCTCCTCTACAGAAAGTAACTCTTCCTAGTAGAGGGCAATTATGACTATTACAGGTGTGGCTGCACAGGTAAGATAGCGTTCCCCTCTCTGCCATTTTTACTCAGTCCTACAATGGACCTGAATAGGGCTAAAAATGAGATAGTTATTAATATTTCTTTCTCCTAAATTATGGGTTGTTACATAATCAGAATTGCTTGGCTACAGTTAGGTCTGGTTTACTAACAATAATTGTAGCTCCTTCATCCTTGATAAAATAATCCAATTATCATCCTCTTTCTCCAACATCCATGTTTTTTTCTTTTTTTGACATCAGGGATGGGAATCCTGTGGCTCTCCAGATGTTATTAAACTGCAACTCTCATCAGCCCTAGCCAGCAAATGCTAAGGAATGCAGTGAGTTGCTGTTCAACAAAATCTGGAGTTGCATGGTTCCTTCTTTCATTCTACAGAACTGGTAAACAGCTTGTATTTTGCACTGATTTATGTGAATGTGTATATTAAGCCTCAATATCTGAGTACATGAGCCAACTATCATGGGTTAAGACTTTCAGCAAATACTTAGAACATTGTACTTAACAAGACAGACCATAGCCTTGGAGAAGGAAAGCATGACATTTGTGCATATCTGTCACACACACGTATCTGAAGGTCAAGAACAGCTCACATGATGTTAAGTGCTCATGAGACAGAGGAGGCTATACATATGATCCAATAATACCAGATGTAGATTTGTTTGAATTAAACCAGTTCTTCTGGCTTCAATGGCTATCAAAGCAAATTATAAAACAGGCCAGAAA